TACGACACGCATGGCTTACAGAGGAAGAATTCTGTTCCACTTCCCCATGGAGATAAAAGGAAATAAACAAGAACAAGAATTAGAAAGAAAATAGAAGAAAACCCAAAGGGGTGTGTATATATATGCTTGTACATGTATGTGTAGTGTGACCTAAGTGTAAGTAGAAGTAGCAAGACTTACCTGTAATCTTGCATATTTATGAGACAGACAAAAGACACCAGCAATCCTACCATCATGTAAAATGATTACAGGCTTTCGTTTTACACTCACTTGGCAAGACTACAGTACCTCCCTGGGTGGTTGCTGTCTACCAACCTACTACCTAGGAGAAATCACATGTACTGTATGTATAATGCTTGATTACGGTACGTATATTATTATGAGAAAAAGAAGCTGGGGCACAACCATCAAAGGAGAGATTAATTGTGCTGCCCTATGCAAATGGAAAAATCACCCTTTTTCCTAAAGAACTTCATTATATCATAATCTAAGCTTTATCTTGATTCCATGCATGATGCTGTAAGTTAGATACAGTACTTTAAATCAAAAGTACTTTTTACCACAGAGCGCTCTCTAAAGGGGGAATTTGTGTATCATATTGTACAAAGATTTCTCCCTTCAGTAACCAACCAGTGTAGCTGGTAAAGCTGTGATTGTGACACAGAGTGACGACTTCTACCTAGAGACTTTGCTCTCCTTGAGCTCTCTACCTTCCTCATTTAAAATCTAGTCAGAACCATGCCTGAAGCATCTGAGGACAAGTGAAATATATTTTGGAGAAAGAATCTCAAGAGTGCAATACATGAAAGGATGCTGTCAGGAAGGTTAAGTTAAAGAAAAATAAACACAAACAAAAACACTGTACAGTTGGCCCTCATGAAAGATGGGATGAATTAGGGCTGATGGAGATATGTGGAACTTCCTTGATGGAGTAAACACTGTAAACTTATGAATGGATGTATCCACATGAGAGATAGATAGATAGATATGACTTGAAAAATGTTTGCATCATACACTTTAACACCCATAACCATCTCACTGACTTTCAAAATGCCAGTATTGTCATCAAGGAATCTGGCCTCTTTTACAAAAGCTGTCTAGAATTGTCTCTCATTGCTACTACTAACAGTATCTCTCAATAAGGTTTAAACCTTGGTAAGGGATATCTACAATTAATTTAAAACACATGGTCCCAGAACTGAAAAGTTTTCTAATAAAATATTGTAGTGTTTGCTCAAGTCTCTTTAATCTGTCACTCAGAACACAGGTACTTTAATGATTTTGGAAATACATGCCCAACAATTACTACCTAAGCATACCGGCCCTCCAGCACCAGTAATACAAAATTACATTTGCATACCCAATTTGGGTTCATTTTGTGTTTCAGAGACTATATCTGTAATATATCATTGTAATCTGGCTAATAATGACATTTATATGAAAGAAAGTCCAGAATAAAGGGAATGGGGAAGCCACTGAACACCACTCTTTTTTACAGAGGCAAGAGAACTCAGGCATAATATAAGACACAAAACTCTATATTTCTCTTGTCTATGTCAGCCTGTGTAAAAACTCAATGTGCATAAAAGGACCTAAAATCTGGAACTCTTTGAATGAAGATTCCAGAGGCTCCCTGTCTGCCAGCCACTTCAAAGCTACTGTTAAAAAAATCTCTTTACCTTAAAGTGATTCTGACAATAATTTATCATGCCTAACAAATACTGAAACCATCTTTCATCCAATATTATCCTTGTTCTTGTTCAATCTTTCCTTCAGCTCTCATTAATTACCATAAAGGCATTTTTTTATTTAAATTCAGATGCCTGGCTTCATCCTTAATGTATCTCTAATTAGAATTTTTCTTTGAATTACTAAATACCTTCAATACAGTATAAATCAGTGGTGGCTCATCCATAGGAGCTGCAGAGCTGCATTCCTTCCAAATGCTCACTGCCAGGCATATGAGTTCATGAACCTTACCCTAAAATAATTTGCAACTAACAAATATATTACAGGGAAAATCTGTTGTATGTTGTATGTTGTATAAGCGAATTTTTTATTTTTTTGTTGAAACGAGATAAAAATTATTAAAACCAGAAGTTTGATGCGGTACGATAGTATAGGCATTACTGGCACTACGTGCCAGTATAAGCTAAGTATATTTTTATCATCATGTACGTACTGTGTGTGTCTCACTGTCTAGTAATTAAAAGTTAGTTTTAAGGCTGCCCAAAATACCTTGCATAACAAGGGGCTTTCTTCAAAGTAGTTTATACATGTCAGTTAAGCTAATTGTATACTGTACAGTGCTCCACTTTATAAAAAATAAAGTTGTTCATTTGTTTTATTTGAAAAAATTATATACTAGTTTTAAATTTAGGGGGTCGTGTGACAAGCCTAGAAAAAAAAAAGTATTGCCAGAAAACCCATGGATAATCAAATTTATTTGTGGGTTGCTCATTAACCCTTTCAGGGTCGACAGGCCCTCTCCCAAAATTGTTCTCAGGGTCGAAAAATATTTGAAAAAAAAAAATTAGTTTTTTCTTATGAAATGATAAGTTTTTCTTTTTGTGAGTATTATAGGCCATTTTTTTTTTTTTGCAATCAATACTTATGGAGATATGGAGGTGTGAAGTTGACAGAAATTGAACTGCGTACGGCAACATTGCCAACTGCCGGTCATCCGGTAATAGTTTATCTTGTTTTTTCTACTTTTTTCTTTTATTTTTTAATATTTTATTTTTTCAAGTAACTTTTATGGCCTCTGAGACCAATATAAAGACTACTGGTATATATTCACTCATTGTATACTACACAATAACAGCACAAACTTTGCTGTCATATTATTCTTTACAAAACATGTTTACACAAACCAACAATAAAAATGTTGTTTATTACTATTTTTCTATCATATATATATATACACATATAGAGTCACTGGACAGGTTCCTATAACTGCAAGAGGTTCTGAAAGCTTGTAGAAGTGTGGGGATAGAGTTATAAATATGCTGAGTCACCAGTATGTCTTGTATCACAAAGATGCATCATACCACCACTCACTAACACTCATTGCCTTCCACAACACATCCCTTCCTCCCCACAAACCTATCTTCCTTCTTTCCTTCCTTTCTTCCTTCCATCCTCTAATCTCTCCCTACCTACCTTCCCTCCTTCCTTCTTCCTTCCTTCCTCTCATCTCTTCCTACCTACCTACCTTCCCTCCTTTCTTCCTTCCTTTCTTTCTTCATTCAAGTAATTTTATGGCCTGTGAGACCAATATAAAGTATATTGAATGTATATTCACTAGTTGTATGCTACACAATAACCACAGTCATTATATTGTTTACAAAACATGTTTACACAAACCAACAATAAAAAATGTTGTTTATTACTATTTTTCTATCACATATATACACATATAAAGTCACTAGACACTTCCCAGAACTGCTACGGCTCCTGTAAAGCTTGCAGTTGTGTGGGGATGGACTTGTAAATAAGCCGAGTAACTGGTATAATTAGTGTCACAATGACAAATAACACCATCACTCACCACCCTCACTGTCTGTCAACTTCCTCCCCTCCCCACCCCACCAACCCACATGGAAATAAGTCACTGTCTGAATTTTTTGGGTTATCCTAGGTTGATGGTCTTCTTCCTTCCTTACTTCCTCCCTTCCTTCCTTCCCTCCTACCTTCCTTCCTCTCATCCTTTCCTTCTTACCTTCCTTCCTTCTGCCTTCCTTCAAGTTTCCTGGGCATTGCTTTCGGTCACAAACTCCTCAAAACCATGAAATTCATCTTCACTGACACTTCCATGTGTGTTTGAACTGTCACTTGGGAACAAAAGAGCTCCAATTAGCTGAGGAGTGAGGATTTTCTTAGCGCTAGACATGGTGAACAAGGTGTAATAAAATGGCTTTCCCACAATGCACCACTGGGTCCCCGATTTTTTTTGTACCACACACTGACCATGGAGATCCATTCTCTCACATCTAGGACTACCAGCCTTTTCCTGCTTGATTTGAGGACACTAGAATTTATGCGTACTAGTATGTCAATAACCCTGGCTCATAAGACGTACTAGTACTTCGGAAACCCTGAAAGCGTTAATAAAAACATCAGGTAAGTGAAACATGCAAATAAGGAAGTTCAAGAACTTGAAGGATTGACTGTACTGTAAAATTTTATTTGCATAATGATAGTAAAATTTAATGACACAACAATAATAACAACATTAATGATTTTATTTTCTATAAAAATACATTTGTGTTACAAAAATTGGTTTACATTAGTTATGTTTTATCACCAGGCTGCTTACTCAGTAAGTCCTGTATTAGTTTAAGTATCTTTTATAAAAACTTTTATATCGTAATAAAGTTGGTAGAATTACCGACAATATGTAAAGTAAAAGGACACAAGTGCAACTAATGTGACATTTTATTGTGGCAACGTTTCGCTCTCCAGGAGCTTTATCAAGCCATTACAAACAATACATGGACACAGAGGGTATATAAAGGCTCAGAGTGAGGTGCAATACTAGTGAGGTACCATTTTGATGTTCACTAGTGGTAGTAGTAGTAGTAGTAGTAGTAGTGACAAAAGTAATACAATATGGTAGAGCAATTAATTCGTACATGAGTAAAAGGATATAAAAGCTATTACTTGGGTAACATAAAAATAGGTTGGACAAATATAGACTGGAAAGAGGCAGCTTGTTTCAGTGTTCACTCTCTGTAATGTGCTTTGTGTAGTATAACAGGAGAGACTATGTGATGACAGGGTTTACTACACAAAGCACATTACAGAGAGTGAACACTGAAACAAGCTGCCTCTTTCCACTCTGTATTTGTCCAACCTATTTTTATGTTACCCAAGTAATAGCTTTTATATCCTTTTACTCATGTACGAATTAATTGCTCTACCATATTGTATTACTTTTGTCACTACTACTACTACCACTAGTGAACATCGAAATGGTACTTTACTAGTATTGCACCTCACTCTGAGCCTTTATATACCCTCTGTGTCCATGTATTGTTTGTAATGGCTTGATAAAGCTCCTGGAGAGCGAAACGTTGCCACAATAAAATGTCACATTAGTTGCACTTGTGTCCTTTAATTTTTATATCATATTTGTGACTAGCACTTTTTTTTTATTTATGTGTTGTTGCAAATGGACATTTATATGTCATACTGTAAAGCTATGGGTAAGTATAATGATATACATGAGTGTAGTGACATACACCTGATCAGTCTGAAATTGGTAGCTAAATTATTAAACACTTACCCTGAATAAACAATGTACATAATTTATTTTGATTGTATAAATATTATTCTCTCTCCTGCATTGTTTATTTGTGTACAATTATTATTTTGTAATGCACAAGGCAATTCTGTTTCATGATGATAAATCATGGGATGTACAATTATTATGACTGTATAGTCCTTGTGGCTTAGCGCTTCTTTTTGATTATAATAATAATAACAATTATTATTATTATAATCAAAAAGAAGCGCTAAGCCACAAGGGCTATGGGATGTACAAGCACCCCCTCCCCCCACCACAGTTCTCTGAAGCTGAAGTCATGGAGAAAGATATAAGACACTGCTTCCTTATAAAAGTCAGGTTTTGGGCTAGTAGAAGGTAATAGGGTAATGTTTGAGCAATGAGCTCATGGTGTAGAAGTAATACAGTGAAGCTGGCAGTTTCTGGGATGCGTTTGGTGAGTGTTGTTATGATGCTGTGGAGCTAGCCTTAAATGCAGCACATTGCATGGAAGCAGATCACTGTTTTTTCCCCAGTGCCTGCTCAAGTCTTGTGTATTGTACTACAATAGGGTTCCTGGGTATGTGACAACAGTTGGTTGGTACAGTATATATTAACAATATGTTTCAAGCCATGAATATCTTGACATGGCCAGTGATCAATCCTTGTACATTATCTTACCAGTTATGTTTTATAGTGACATTAGTTTAATTTTTATACTACATGTGTGTGCCACCTAGGTAGTAGGTTGGTAGACAGCAACCACCCAGGGAGGTACTACTGTCCTGCCAAGTGAGTATAAAACGAAAGCCTGTAATTGTTTTACATGATGGTAGGATTGCTGGTGTCTTTTTTCTGTCTCATAAAAATGTAAGATTTCAGGTACGTCTTGCTACTTCTACTTACACTTAGGTCACACTACACATGTACAAGCATATATATACATACCCCTCTGGGTTTTCTTCTATTTTCTTACTAGTTCTTGTTCTTGTTTATTTCCTCTTATCTCCATGGGGAAGTGGAACAGAATTCTTCCTCCGTAAGCCATGCATGTCGTAAGGGGTGACTAAAATGCCGGGAGCAAGAGGTTAGTAACCCCTTCTCCTGTATACATTACTAAAGTTAAAAAGAGAAACTTTTGTTTTTCTTTTTGGGCCACCCTGCCTTGGTGGGATACAGCTGGTTTGTTGAAAGAAGATGATGTGTGTGCCATTAACCTTCGAGTGGTCACCACTCAATCATGGCATGTTTTTACCTTGTGGCCTAGTGCAACCACTAGGCCACAAGATAATAATAATTTATACTCTCGAATCTTTTATTTTTTTATGTTACTATAGTTATCTATATGACCAGTTTAACTAATACCCTAGAACACAGCCAAGATAGCATAAGACAACAAAACAAGTAATGTGGCCTCCACCATCACTATTACACCACCAATACCAATAATTGTCAACAGTCCTGTACAACATCTGCACTGATCCCTTCACAAACTTCCTGGGCTATAATACCCTGAAGGGGCTTTTCAGTATCATTGGTGGAAGAGATTTTGAGGGAGTGATGGGTTTAATGCAGTCCCACCCAATATTTTATCTTACAATGATACAGACTATGGCATGGAGCTGGACACAGAGCCACACCACACGATTTGCATTTGTACTTAGTGTCTTTTCTTTTGCCAGACCTAAAACACACTCTACACCTCAGTCTTTTTGTGATAGTTTCCAGCGAGTGGTCTAAATTACGATATAGACGGCAGGGTGAATCCATACAACGTGGCCGCCTCACACAGGGAATAGTTTGTACCCTTTCTGTTGAAGATGACCTGCGAGTTTCCAGTTCACTGTGGGTAAAGAGTCACCATGTGAGTTGGATGATACATCAAAAATGCTCTTCTCATCATCTCTATAACTAGCATCACTCTCATGCTTTAGTGTCAACACCAATCAAATAATACATACTCACTATCGAAAAAATCCTCATCAAAGACACTTAAGCTTTGTTTTAGTATGCACTATATCAGTACTGTACAGTATTTCTCAGTTTTAATGGAAAGTAATCATTGCTTCACATTTATACTGATTATTGAGAATCACTTTTTTTTTTTTTTTGCTGCTCCACAATGGGGCACAACATAAAACACTATTAGCTTTAACACTAAATATCACTAGACTCCTAAAAACTAACAATACTGGTGAAGGGTCATGTATGTACTTGGTAAAAAAGTAGCTAAAGAAACAATACTTATAATTTACCCTTAAAAAATCATATTAAATCTATAGTTCTTATCTGATATCTGCCAAAGAAAAGTGAGCTCTCTAACCATGCATAAAATGAACATACACCAAGTATGAATGCATTTGGTAAAACAATGAGAAAAAAATTATTCAAAATACTTTTGAGCACAAGTATTTACAATAATCATAATTGCAGTCAGTGTTTATAAGTAATTAGTAGGTTCCTCATGTACATCAATGATCTTCCCAATACATCTCATTTACTTGAGCCAGCTCTGTTTGCAGATGACACAACTTTTGTCATCTCCAATTCAAATCGAATTCTCTCAATAACACTGTTATTGAGAGAATTAATAAAAATATCTAACTGGATGACTTCCAGTAAACTCACTCTTAATATTTAAAGAACTTTCTACATGATTTTTGAGAACTGAGCTTCAAATGTCCTACTAAATAAAATGATTATTGATTTTCCCATTGTAAGACGGAGGGAACAATAACCCAACAACAATAACAATAACAATATTGTAGCAATAAGGAGGTATTTATACCACCCAATATGACATCTTTGATACAACCACTGAAATAAGGAATTACGACACACTACACATGCAAGGTAATAGAAAAACTTGTTGCAATACTGGATAACAGCTCTGAAACTGACATACATGAGTTCTACCATAGCTTTAAGATTACAGATGTAGAAGTGTCATGAAATGAACTGCCCAAACCACCAAGATCACCTAAAGTGCTTATTGTTATCCACAATGTCAATAAGTACATGGATCCTAAATTCCTGTTGTCAGATCAAGTTGCAAACCCTCGTCGACTTCCAAATGATCTGATATTGGCTGAGTGGATTGGCCAAGGGACTCCACCATCATATATCTACTCTCGTGCTGCGCTTAACAGGAGTTACAAAATAGCTTTGTACAAACCACCTCACCGTAGATGCTACAAGTGTCAGTGCTGGGGTCACATTGCTTGGAAATGCCCATCTAAGTCACACTGGTGTGCAGTGTGTGCCAAGGCCCATCCTTCTCACCAGTGCTATGATATGATCAAGAAACACCAGACCGTTGCATTACAATGTATCAATTGTGATACTCCAGGAGTCACAGCTGCTCATGCTGACTGCAGAGCGAAAGCTGCTCACATCACCAGCCGCAGGGCTCCTGCCTCACCCATCACCCCCCATGATGAGGCAGTAGGCCTACCAGATACTTCATGTCTGAATACTGACCCATGCCTGATTTCAGACAATATGGTTGAGCGAGTCACTCTGGGAGTACATCAACAGAGCACGATCACGTCTGCTATCAACACTAGTAATGCTGCTGGTGTTGACACCACCTGTCTGGCTGAGTCAGCTGTCAGTCAGCCACCTGGCTCAGCTGACCGGGACTTCATACCTCCAGAAGAAGCTAGTCTTGCTGGGGTGGTACACAACATGCAACTGCACATAACAGTACTGGAGAAGCAACAATGGTGTTTGAAACAACAACTTGAGCACTACGAGGAAAAACTTAGAGAGGTTGCAAATGAGTACATCAACCCACAGATAGTCAGCCATTATGAAAATGAGTGTGGTGATGATGAACAAACTGATGAATATAGTGGTGTTAATAATTACAAAAATGATGAATCTGATAGTGGTGTTTACAATCACAGTGAAGATGATAAGTGCAGTGAAGACCATCATGATAGTCAAACTGATGAGTGTAATGTATTGATAGATACTGAGTGTGGAGATGACCCGGTTGTTGATAATGGTGTATGTATCACTGGTCATAATGATGAGGGAAGTGATACATGTGATGATAGTGATGAGTGTAATAAAAGCGGAGAGGTGAGTGCTAGGGATAGTGTCACGATCCATACATTCACAAAGAGCGCTGTGCCCTCTGTGTACAAAGACTCCCAAGAGGTCTCACTAATGGAAGTGCACTTAGGAGACTCATGGATAAGGATAATACTGATGATATTGATATTGATTATGTCTGTTTGTTATTTAGTAAATTTTTTAATTTTGCTGAGAAATTGAAATCTATTCCTGGACTTTTATAATGGAACCAAACTCTTATAAACTATCCATTTTAAGTTGGAATATTGCATCACTTAGAAAAAGATTTTCTGACCTGCATCATAAAGTAACCACTGAATCCATTGATATTGTGTGTCTACAAGAGTGCAGAGTCCCTGAAAAATCCCAACCCCCTAAATTGCCATCATTTGTTGCATATAATCTCAAATCTACTAATTCTTATGTTCTATATATTAAAAAATCACTTCCCCATCAACTTCTTGCACATAAAAAAACAGAGGGGCTACAGTATCACGGTGTTAGGATTTATATTGGGAACTCTGCTCTCAACATATTTAACTTGTACGCTCCTGCTGATAAGTTTAATTACTTGGAGCTCCCAACTTGTGCTCAGTCTGAACCTACTCTCATTATTGGTGATTATAATGCAAGACACAAAAGCATTGGAAACTCTCAGTTTGGTAATCGTAATGGCAATCAACTGTTGTCACTCTTAAACAGTCATGATAATGTGCAAATAGTAGGTGACCTTGAACCCACACATATCTATGGAGGTGTCCTTGATCTGTGTCTTGGCTTCAACATTACTTCTGCCAGCTGTGAGTCTTCCATTGTAACAGATATAGCGTCTGATCATTTCCCAAGGCTAACCTCTCTAGATATTGGTAATACTATCCTCCCTGGTGGGATATTCAAATGGAAACGTCTTAATGTTTCCCCTGATCAACATGATGACTTTGTTGCACATGTGACTGACTGGTATAATTCCTATGAGTGTATCTTTGTCGAGACTTTTAACAATGACCTTGTGAGCAGTATTCAGAACTTCTTAGAGCCGCCTCTGAAACCTCTTACTACTCTAAATCCAAATGACTTCCATAATAATCATAAGTCTTATAAAAACCATACCTATTACAATGATTCTAAACTTCGAACATTGAAACGTACTGCTCGCAAACTAGGCCTAGCCTATAGAAACCATCGTACCCCTGAAATGCTGAGCCTCTTCCAAACTGCCCATGCTGCTGCCAGAGAGCGTATGACAGAGCTGCGGCAAACAGACTGGGAACAATTTGCCATTGGTCTCAATGCTCACACCCCACTTAGCCAGGCATGGAGGGACATAAATAGAATTAAGGGTAACAGAACTGGGCAGATCGCACACCCTCATCCCTTGCATAGGGCGAATGAGGTAGTCAGTGCTTGGGCTGCTACATCTAGCTATGACAGTCTTCCCAGTACCACACAGGCGAAATTAATGGACAAATATGATGCAAGGGAGAGACTTGTTTGCTTTATGCTCAGCAAGGCAGATGACTGCAACATTCCTTTCACTAATTATGAACTTGATGCAGCACTAAGGGAAACTCCACGTCGCCTGGTGAGGATGGTATTACTTACAACATACTCAGATTGCTGTGTCGAGTACCAGGTAATCCTTTACTTGAATTATATAACGTGAGTTATGTCACTGGGGAGCTCCCTAAATCATGGACCAATAGCCTCATTATTCCCATTCCGAAGCCCAATCAACAAAACTCATTTCGCCAATATCCCTTAGTAGCTGCTTGTGTAAAACATTCGAAAGGATGATTCTTAATCGTCTTATGCACAGAATTAAGCAATTCTTGTCTCCCCGGTTGCATGGCTTCATGCATGGAAGGAGTGTGCATCATTGCATTACCACCTTTCTCACTCTGCACACTGACAGCTCATACACTACCTTCCTTGACCTTAAATCCACTTTTGATGTAGCCAACCGACATGTAATCATTAGTGAACTTGCCAGAATGGATGTTGGAGGATGGCTTCTCCGCTGGATTAAAGGTTACCTGTCCAACAGAAAGTCGTCTGTGTTGTTCCAGGGACATAGAAGTGTAACTAAAGATTTTGAATTAGGAACCCCACAGGGAGGTGTGCTTAGTCCCACCCTTTTCAACATTTTGATTAATGCCTTACTTAATGCCATGCCTAGCCAGCCCCATCATTATATGGTTAGTTTTGCTGATGACATAATGATTCACACCACCAGATTCTCCAACACCCAAAACATTCTTAATCATGTACTAGCCTCGTGTCAGGACCTGGGGTTAATAATCTCAGGGGATAAAACAAAGATACTCAACAGATGTCCTCCTCGGCAGAGAGGCACAGTTCGTCAGATCCAGTTGCATGATGGGTCTCTTCTAGAATATGTAAGCAGATACAGGTATCTAGGCTTTGAGGTTCCACTACTTGGACCTGTTGTAACGAGACTTTGTCGCCAATACAAAGAAAGGCTGAGAGCACTTAGAGTTGTGGCTGGGTTTCACCCCAGGTATGGTGCTAATGTTAAAATTGTGAAAATGATGTATCTTGCTTATATTAGATCATTGGTTGATTATGCGGCACCACTACTTGCACTCTTGTCTGACTGGAAGCTTGGAGGGCTGGAAAAATTGCAAAACGAAGCAATGAGGATCATCCTAGGATGCCCTCGTACTGCCAAAATTTTAAATATGCGGAAAGAACTTAATATTCCAAGCATTAGAGATCGTGTTACTGAAAGAAATATCCTTATTG